ATTTGAGTATTTTTCTATGTTATGTTCATGTTTATGTTCATAAACTTTTTATTTAATAAAATATGTTTTCATAGTTTGTGTTGTCCCTTATTATCAATGCAAAATGGTCACTAACTAAAGAGGATTTATGCTGATATTGCCCAAAAACCCTATTTTGTTCAGGCGTTTCCAAACTTTTGGAGGGCAGTGTAAGTAAGGACTAAAAAATCATGGGGCATTCTGTTGTAGGAAAATAATCAGTGACGGGGCACTGTGATGTTGTCCAACATGAAGCGGAGGCATTGTTACCACCCTGAAGTTTTTTCTATAACAGCATATCGTGAATTGATTTATTCTTCTTATAGTACAGCAATTTGCTAGGGTCCCTGGAGGACTAGTGGTTAGGCCCTAGTGTGCTCACTGCTGCGGCCCAGGTTTGATTCCCGGCCAGGGAACTTACCCCAGCCACTGGCGTTTCGTGCAACGGTGTGCCAGTCCCAAGCCTGGATAAAATTGGAGAGGGTTGCACCAGGAGGGGCATCTGGCGTTTTTTTTTTTTTTTTTTTTTTAAAGGAAAAACTGTGCCAAATCAAATATGCGGCCCTATGATCTGCTGTGGCGACTCCTAACAGGAGCAGCCAAAAAAGGAACAACAACATAGTACAGCAATTTGCTAACGTTTACAGTTTGTTTTTTTTAACAATACAACACCTGCAATGTTTGTAGAACGTACGCGAAAAAAGTTAGTACCTTCTAATACTTACGTTATAACAGTTATAAAAAGTCGTTCTGTTTTTTTAATAAGTTAATAAGAAAAAAACACTAAACAACACATACACACACTGATACTGGAGACTCCTTCTATAAATGTTACACAAACATCTCCTTACAGAAAACTGACAATGCTTTTTTGTTTGTTGTTGTTAAATAACAAGATGTTGTTTAATCAGTTTATGTGGGGTGTCCACCTTGGGAATTAGGTACTATAGTAACAGTGCATTAATATACTGGATCTATTGTCAGAGCTGGTATTATATATATAAAAAATAATAATAAAAAATAATTTAAAAAAAAACCCCTTCTGACCAATGGGAATTGAGAATTCAGCAGCACTGTGGTATAAAATGTGTTATTTCAGCCCTAACAGAACAGGTCAGTTTCAGCTTTTCTCTCTCTCTCCTAAGGTCACATTGTTCAGTGTGTGTGTGTGTGTGTGTGTGTGTGTGTGTGTGTGTGTGTGTATGTGGCCAGGCTGGTATAGTTGATGAAGCCATGGAGTGGAGTTTGCTGGTTAAGGACAAGCCTAGAATAGGAGCTGGCTGGGAAAATGCCTGAGCATAAAATCGATACAAGTGAAACGAAGGCAAGCTCTTCACATTTTTACAGAGAAGACTAATGTACCCTTGAACTGAGGAATGTGCATGTGTGAATGTGTGTGTGTGTGTGTGTGTGTGTGTGGTTTTGAGTATGCCAAGGTCATCAGAATGCACAGTTGAGTGGGCTATTTCACTATGACTAGGTTTCAGTACGGGATGAAAAGAGGGCATAAGAAACACCACTGCGTGTTATTGATGAAAACATTAGGACTCAATCTGAAAAACACTGGAAGGTTTTAGCTGCAGCAGAACAACCCTTCTAGCTCTGATTATCACAGCCACACTGCGTTTTCCTCTAAAGGAAAAAATAATAGTGCGTTATGTGTAAAGAAAACCTAATCACATCGCTTTAGTCCAAGCTGATTCCGTTTTCATCTCTCTTATAGTAGAGTAGCGTAGCAGCTTTTCCAAGGTACCTGCACTCTTATCGTGCATTTCCGCAGATTTCCGATTCAATTGAATGTATAAACAAGGCATTCTGATTCTAATCACATAAATAATACCAGCATACTTTGAACTAATCACTTGTGAGATCAAATTCATTAAAACCTTACTCACTTTTAAATGAGTGAGGCATAATTTTTATTTTCACGCTAACAGCTTAAATGAGCTAAAATTTCTATTTAATAATATCAAGGTTTTTTTTTCTAATTCCAGCAGGTATTCTTAATATTCAAAATCACTTACTTGTACACCGTATACTGTATTGTATATTAGTATATACTATGTATATACCATATACTATTCCTTGTGGTATACTTCCTAGTAGTATATATTGTGCAAGAATTATCATTTGATATACTACTATAGTCATGTGACCTCCACCTGTCAATCAAATTCATATGGCTCCCTCAGAATGACTTCAGACTGCATAATTTCTGCAGGAAAATCTTAACAGTTATGCATAACCCATCTCTGAATAAGAGAAACTTTCCCAGCGTAAATATTTATATGTTCTTTTGAACTTAAGTTGCTGAATACGGCCATGGGTAATTAGGCTACAATAATTAATCATAAAGGAAATGCCATAATTGTGTACACAATGTGTAAATGTGTTTTTATTCATTTATTTATCTGTGTATTTTGTATTTTACTGACATATATGGGAATGAGCCATGCTTGCTGTCAGTTTTACAGACTTTGGGGATTTCTACTGTGTTTCACACCACTTTTCTTGCACCTTTGGTAGCATCAGTGTCATACTGAATGCCCCAGTGCCACTGGTATAACATTTTGCTCCTTTTTCATGACAAGGACATGTCAGATAAAAAAAAAAAAAGCTGGACTTTTTGTTCAGGGACAACATCATGCTGAGAACCTTTACAGTGAATCCATTTTTTTTTTTCTGACATTTTTTTTTATTTTATTTCTAACACCAGAGCTTGTCGTATCTTAAAGGCTCTTTATTCTGTTTGAGTCAAGGCCTGCTGTTAAGCTCACTTTTATTCTTGTAGCCTATTTGTACTCTACACAATAGCAATGACGGATCGGGTTTTAAGGCTATGTTCTAGTGAAGGAAGTCAAATCTCAGGGCCACCAAGAGACCCTTAAAAGCTTGGACAATATTCTGTCTCATAAAAGCATCTAATGAATTAAAACATGCAGATATTGTTATTGTAATGTCAGTGATGTTGAGCAGTGGAGGACTAGTTCTGCTTCTAGAGTATGGTCACACAATGCCATCTGTATCTGTACCTGTTTAGTGCTCTAATTATGCACTGTCAGCATTGTGCGTGAATTCTGGCTCTGACAGTTCCTCAACCTCAGCTAGATCACTCGAGTTTATAATCTGTCTCAGCTAGAGATAAGACTGGAACTGTTTAATTTTCTATGCAAAAATATAAACAAACTAATAACCTAATTTAAACCAGTGTGACCTTTTTACTAAGTTACCAAGGCTGAATGAATATATGCTGTAAATATGCATGCATAAAATTAAGAACTTCCCATTAATGCGACTTTTTTGTCACATCCCACCAGATCCCAGTCTCGATACACAGCTCTAGTCTCAACCACATGCTCTGTCTAAAAAAAAAGTAAAAACAAAACAAAACAAGTAGTGTGTCTCTTATTCATATCTGTATTTGTGTCTGTTTCTAACATATTATCTGTTTGTCCTGAATAACATATTCGGATTCGGTTACTTCTCTTTTGTCGAAACATGTTTCTTCTAAGGTATGTCGTTAAAGAGTTTCCCACCACTGTCACTTTCTTAGAGAGTTCATATAGAGGGTTTTTTCACCACTGTCACATTCACCTTGCTTATCAGATGTTGAGGCCTGGATTTCTCTATAGCTGCTTAGGGGAAATTTTTGTTAGTGCCCTTATAAATAAAATCGAAAAATTGGACCTTCCATCAAAAGTGTACTTAGAAGTGCAAGTAAATTTTACACCAGTACACTTGAAAGAGAGCTCAATCAAAGCAATTATTTTTATTTTTAGACAAAGACTTTTGTAAACTGACTTGGCAATTCTGGATTACAGTTCTAAGACTCTCGCTAAACAAGCATGGCATGTTTATCTCTTGCCTTGTTTTTCATGATGGATTGGAAGCCACTAAAAAGCACTCGAGGCAGGAACTGCAGGGAATTTGGGAGAACTCCTTCTGAGACAAACTGCTGTGGCTTATTGCCAGAAAAACACACTCTCAATTCTTCCAGCGGAGATTCCAAATAATGAACGCGACAGGATGCAGCTTCTCGCTGTGGCAAAGAAATGGGACACTCATAATTGGGGGAGGTGACACGCCTCAGTCTGTAGGCCAGGCGGATAAGTGAGAGAGACTGTTCCAGAAAGAATTACTTCTTTCTTTTGACAAGTTTAGCAAATGTAGAGCTCAGGGAGTGAAAGAGAGACAGTTATTCACATATAATTTTTTTTTTCTTAACTCTCCCTGGAAAATGTCATGCTCAGAGATTTCCAAGAAAGAAGAATTCACTGGAAATGTGATGGTGGAACATTGGGATTTAAAAATATAGCACCAATTAGCATTAAGTGAAGTTTGAATAATTCAAATATCATATTAACCAATGCAAATTATGTGTATTTGTTTATTAGTTGGCATTGTAAATGAGTTGAAAGGAGAAGAATAGCTTGAAACTATGATATTTACAACTCTTATTCATTCCAGTCTTGTCTCTGAAAGCAAAAATCAAATTATTTTTCTCATTAAAAATTGTCCATATATGTACTATTTGAATATGAGAGTCAGGATTGTTGCTGACTGTCTGGACGAGAATTCCTAATTAATTGCAATACCACAAAAAAAGCAAAAAAAAAATAGTAGGACGAGGACAACAGCAACCATGATGCAGCTCTATCTCGCTCAGCAAATTAGCATTGAGATGGAGGTCTAACTGAAGCGGATTGGAGCCAAATGATTGACGAGTCAAGAACAAGGTTCTAAAAAAACAAAGGATCATGATTCTAGAAAGATGAATGAACAGTAAGAATGTGGATTACTGCAGGAGAAAACAGCCTTGAGCTTAGAGTACGATAATTAGCAACTTTGGAGAGAAAATGTAGATGTATTACCTTAATAAGAAATGTTTCTCACTGATATGTGGAATACTTGGAATGAAAATTAGGGTGGCTAATAATTAAAGGGGGCTTAAAAGATTCAGACAGTGAATGACATAATATTATTCAGCACTACCAGTTTTCATTCATTATCAGCAAAGCTTGTATAGAGGTGCCATTTTTCTCTACAAGTTAATGGGTACAGTTTTGTAATAGAGCCTAGATGGATTCCAGTGCAAAACTGTGTCATTTTTGTAAAACAAATCTTTAAAACCATAAATATGTCGTCTCCTGTAGACAATCCCCTCCATAATGCCCTATCAGAGCAAGATCATGAGTGTAGGTCCAACCCCAAAATAACCATAAATGGCGTTGCCACACCACAGATCATTTATAGAAACATAGGGGAAGAGAATGTGTAAAACAAAAAGCAGAATTTTGTGGAATGTGAACAGTATAATGTACTTCATGTGCAGTATGAATGCCAGTGTTCTTCATAGTTCACTAGAGCAATAATGATTTCAGTCAATGAAAGCAAAGTAATTCTCATGCAGTGTCTT